TTATACCCGGGATGAAAGCGCTGACTGCTGTCACCTCACCAGCTCTTGTTTTCATGACCTTTCTCCCAGAGCTGAACCCAGGGAACTGAGAACTTCTAGTGAGCTTTCCTTGCTGGTGAACTTTAAACACCTGAGCTTTTAGGAGCCTTGTCCAAGGCAAAGCTCCAGAGGTTAGAGAGGACACTGGGATATCCTGGGGCTAGCTCTCTTAGTAGTGCAGACATCAATGCAACACTGTGCCAGGGACTGTGAACGGCAGAACATCAAGGTAAATGATGATGATCCACATCACATACCTGCACTGCACACTTACCCCTGATTTTTACCTCCAGCTTGTTTCTCAGACCCGTTCCATTCATATGTTGGCTCAAATGTCCTGCTCAATTCATTAACTAAGTGAAAACTTTTACCAAAGCTTACGTGCCATCTTCATTTTGCAGTAAGGAATCAGGAGAACTTGCTCAAAGCGTTGGAGGACTGTCAGCCTTCCCCAGCGTGCTACCTGTGTGACCAGCAGAACAGACTGGTTTACCTGCAGCACACAGAATCACAGAATTACAGAATGGTGGGGATTGGAAGGGACCTCGAAAGATCATCCAGTCCAATCCCCCTGCCAGAGCAGGAACCTAAATGAGATCACACAGGAAGTCGTCCAGGCGGGTCTTGAATGTCTCCAGAGAAGGAGACTCCACACCCTCCCTGGGCAGCCTGTCCCAGGGCTCTGTCACCCTCACTGGAAAGAAGTTTCTTCTCAAGTTGAAGCAGAACCTCCTGTGTTCCAGCTCACACCCACTGCCCCTTGTCCTACCATTGGGCATCACTGAGAAGAGCCTGGCTCCATCCTCCTGACATTCGCCTTTAGCATATTTATAAACATTAATGAGGTCTCCCCTCAGTCTCCTCCAAGCTAAAGAGCCCCAGCTCCCTCAGCCTTTCCTCAGCAGGGAGATGCTCCATCCCTTCATCATCTTGGTGGCTCTGTGCTGGACTCTCTCAAGGGACAAAATCAAAGTCTATGTCACCTTATTGAAGCATTTAGACATGGAACCTGAGTCTAGATGGCTCGTCTAAAAAAAGGACAAACTATAAATCTGACTTTTTCCAATATAAAGTGTTATTAATAACAGCTATACCACCTATTCCTGTCTGAGGGACGCAGAAGTGTGTGCCAGCTCTATACAAAGCTGTCTCAGCAGTCACAGCAATGGGAGCTTTTCATTGCTGGCAGTTCAGCACTGGGCTGCCCTGTGAGCTGGGGCTCTGCTTCACAGTTGAGCTTGCCTCTCGAGCTGCCGTAGACGAGCTTTGCCACATTTATGCCAGGAATGTGATTAAAAACTGGAAAAAACTGAAGCTAGCTTATTCCCAGAGGCAATATAATGTAACGTATATGCCAGAATAACACACACAAGACCCCTGCCTCAGACTCTGTCTGGCCAACCCCAGGACACAGCCCGGGAGGTAACAGCACAGGGGGAACCCTGGTGAGCTGTGGCTTGTCTGCTGAGGTTATGTTAGCACCTTTAATGCCTCCACGTGCTCTCCCAGTTGCCCGTCACCAAACGCTAAGTAACTCTTGATTCCAGTAGGATAGAAATTTACCTTCTGGTATTTAATTTAACCGTTGATCTCTCTCTCAGCCAGAATTGAAGCCAAACACTTCCTGAAGAGATTAGTCCTTCAAAACTAAATCTAGCCAAGCAGGGCCTCTGATAGTGAGTACAAGGAAGGTTGGACATGTCCCCTGTCCAGGTTTTTAGCCTTACACTCTGGCTGGACGAGCTGAGATCTCTCTTCCAAGAGAGTTAAATCTAGTCCCAGGTAGTCCTCACTGCCAGGATGTTATCTGAATGGTCCCCATACTCCAACCCTGCCAGCTAAAGGCTACCTGTTGCTTGCCACCCCTTTGTTTTTCTCTCGAGCCGTAGATGTACGCACCAGGGAGAAGCAGATTGCAGCAGGGTTTGGCAGCGTGCCTCTCAGCTTCCCTCGCATGCAATCAGCAATACTTGTTTGCTATTTGCATGCACGACCTGGATGCTAAGCAGGTGTTACAAGCCACTATCTCTGCCTGATCTTGCTCTGCGTGTCTTCAGTTCCCCCGGAGCCTTGAATCTGTAGCTTTTGTGGCTGCAACTCACTCAAGGTTGTAGCTCAAACGATTCCTGGTTGTATAACTGCTTGGGCCTGGCTATCATGGCAGCCATCACATTTGAATTTATTTTCCTGTGTGCAACAGAGTTTTAAAGAGGGTAAAGTTTGCAATCTGTGTGCATTCAGGCAGCAAAATGCAGAGCTACTCGCTGCCACTGCTGCCTGCCTGCTTGTGAGATTATCATTGTCCCCTTAACACCAGGCAGGGCCCAGCAGTGGCTTTGTCTTTCAAGGAAGATCCTTATCTGAGGAGGCAAGCTTCTCCATCAGATATTTGTATATCAGAGAAAAGCATGTACTCGCCTGTGTACGTAAAAATAGTCGTACTTGGACGTAGCCCTAGTCCTTTGGGTTGGGTATTTTTCTTTTGGAGGGGATGGGTAACTGGGAAAATCTCTGCTTTCCAATTTTTTTTTTTTTCCCATCAGAACATTTCTTCAGTAGAAAAACGCCTTTAGGCAGAAAAAGTATTTTCACAGATATTGTTTCCCTATAAAAACCCACATTTTGTGTATGTTTTTAGACTGGAAATCTGAAAAACAAACATTTCAAAATGTTATTTCATGAATTTGCAGTGGTATTCATGGTTTCTTTGCCTCTGACCAGTAAGATGGCAGTGCTGTGCCAAAGCCTGTAAGAGCCTGGCATGCTTCATTTAGAAACTGGATCTAGAGAGTCATAAGTGAGTCCAACACCCCAGATATTTGGGGTTCACCCACCACCTCATGCCATAATGTAGGGAACCCCACATTTTTTGTCTTGAGAGGAAGCAGAAGATGTGTCATTTAGGAACCCCTGCCTGATGTCCTGCATTCAGGAAATCAGAGAAGCAGCAAATCACTATATCCTTACCTCTGATGGAAAGGTTTGCTCTCTTTTAAGAACTGTCACCAGAAGATCTTGTGTTCTTGTCCCTTTCTACATCAGCAAAGTTTATAGCATAGAGATAGTCTCCATCCCTTTCAGGAGTTTCTGACACAAGGCTGTAATCATACAGGATTGCACCACAAGGAAATTCTTCCAAGGGGCACCTTCTACTCTCTGGTTTACTCAATTTAAAACAGAAAAAAAAAAGAGAAGGGTTATTTTTTGAAAGGTTGTGCATCCACCAAGAAAAAGCTGCTGGGAAGGATGAAGGCAGGCTGAGCTCCTTGCACCATGCAACTTTAGGCAGTGTGGGATAAAACCTCTTATTTTTTTATTATTTAAAGCTGTAGCCATCACAGCTGATCAGTGTGCGAAGTTGCTCACAAAATTTTTATAGCAAATACTTGAGCAAGACTTATGCAGATGTTTGAGGGTTCCCCTGAATTCAGGCTTACTCAGGCCTACTCAAACTCGAGGCTACTCAGGGTTATTTGGTTTGTTACGTGATCTGAGATCTGAGATAGAAAAGTGCTGATATTTGTAACTGCAGAGCACTGGCCTGACTCATTCTAAGTGGGTTAACTTCAAGCTGAGTGCGAGTCTCATGTTTACCCCGTAGACTCTAACTATTGACATTTTTTGTGATGATATCATGAGCCTGGTAATATCTGATTTGCACTTAGAGTCTTCGTGTAATCAGAGGATTCCAGCAGCTGCACTTTTCTGAGTGTTCAGAATTTCTGTTCCCCTCCTTGGTTATGGAAGAATTTGCAAAACAAAACCTCAGAAACAACAACTGAGGGGAGGCAGGGAGACAGCAATAAGTTATTATTTTTAAAAGCTCATGATTTGGACTGTGTCCTGTGAATTTGGAGTGCTGAGGGTTTAGCAACACACCAGCTTTCGAAGCAAAGACAATGTTTGGATGTTCAGGGTGACTCACTCCTGCATACACATCCATGTTACATGTCTTTTGAATACTCGGTCCATAGAGTAGGTGAGTCTGTTGCTGCCTTTCTTTCAGAGGTCTGCTCCATTAATTCACATTAAAATAATGTATGTTTTTAGTTTGGGAGGTTCCTCGTTCAGTTTCTGGCTCGCCAGCCATAATGGCAGCTGTGTTATGTGTGGTTAACTCAGCTCCATAAAGAACATGCAGACCCTGTCAGATGCACTTTGAATAAGACAAGGCTGTGCCAAAGCCTGTATGAGCCTGGCATGCTTCATTTAGAAAACCCAAGCACATCAACGCAAGGAAATTGATAGTCAAAAATGTTCTTAATGCATAGAAAATACTAGGAAGAGTCAGGAAACACAACTCAGCTGTAAAAAAAAAAAAGAAAAAAAAAAAAGGAGAACAATTTCCTGTTTTTAAGCATTTCTAGAAATGTAGAGTTTGGTAACTTACCAGTCTTACATTTCCCACAAAATAAACAAAAAGTGTAAAGTAATGCATTTTTTATCCTACCACTAACACCCATAACTCTGACCTGTACTGACTGCTTCTCCTTCACTTGTAACCTCAAAATATAAACACCACACCAAACCCTTTGAACGAAGATGTATAGACCTTCAAATGACACTCCAGAAGTGTTACGTACGACGTAGCTCTCTGGTTTGGTTTTGGACCAGCAAGTGCAGGCAGGTGGGCAGGTAATTATATGGAATTGCAGATGAAGTTGCTTACAGCACCCAGCAGCCACCTTTACTGTTTGCAGAAGTCATGTTAACCTTAACTCCTACCCCACCCAGAGCAACGCAGCAGCGAGCAAAGCAACCCACCGGTTTTGCATATGGGTTAATGGACCCCAAAGAATCTGATTCAATCTGCAATCCTGGCAGATGGCAATTTCAGACAGGGCTGGGCAGCTGTGGGGCCCTTGCAGGTGCTCACCAGCTCAAAGAGAGAAGAAGAATGGAGTTACTAGTTTAGTCATGACTCTGAACACTTGTTTTTTTGTTGTTTCTTTTTTTCTCTTCAGGAGGCTCTGTCGGTGGTGAGCGACGACCAGTCCCTCTTTGACTCCACGTACGGCGCTGCCACTCACCTCCCCAAGGCAGATATGACAGCCTCAGGGAACCCTGACTATGGCCAGCCACACAAAATCAACCCTTTGCCCCCTCAGCAGGAGTGGATTAATCAGCCCGTACGAGTCAATGTAAAAAGGGAATATGACCACATGAATGGATCAAGGTAAGGAAAGACTCTTTCCACATCTCCCCTGAACCTTGAATAAAGGCAAAGAAGGTATCATGCATTCGTGTTCTTGTCCTGCATATCAACAAACTCAACTCTTGGCATAGGACCATGTCCACTCCCTCTGGATTTCCTTTGTTACCCATTTTTTAATGCCCTGATGATCTTGCTCTTAGAGTTCTGCATCATCCATCTCCACCAGTCTCCATGAACAGGAGTCCACAGGCTGGGACATGAGACTGCCAGGACAGAGTTCACACTGCAAACACTGTCGTAAATTACACATTAAATGGCACATTTCATCACTTAGTTCAGCATCCCACAAATGTGCCATGGTTCAAGGGGCTTACACCTCTTATACCAGTTTATACCAGAGTGAAGCTAAAAATACACTAACAGACTGTGTGGGCTTCACTGGAGGGCACTTCTCTTTGCATCTGTAACTAGATTGGTGCTCTGCCAAGGCAGAAGCAACCACAGGAAACTGGAGACCTATTTGATGGAGAAGGGAAAAAGGGGAGACTGAGGTCCTTCATGGCAGTCTATGAGGTGTAACAAAACAAAAGTCATATACCCATGACTTCTGCTTGAGTGTGTGCAACCACTGGTGAAAAAGAGCGTTCAGGAGTAGGTGTGAGCAGTGATGTTAACCATGAAGAGGACACTGCTTATGATATATCTTCACCAGCTTTTAGCCAGAGAGGTAGGAGGCCTGCCTGCCACCATTTGTAGTCAGAGCTGAGGGAGCTGGGTCATTTCCTTCTTCAATGAGAAATTCAAAGACTTGTAAGTATTTTATTTTCACAGCTATTCAAAAATATTTGATTTTCACAACTCAGATTGTCCCTTTTAAAAACATTTCTGTAAGTCAAAACCTAGAAACAAAAATTGCACCCTCTTGGACAAAAAACTGTAGGTGTAAAATTATTCAAATTATTTCAGTTTTAAATATAGACAATGAAGAAAAACTATTTTATTTTTTAGCATTAGGTTTGAGAATTCATATTAACTTTAAATGTGACTTTAATTTCAAAGTCACGAACACCTGTAGCATTTGTACAACGTTAATACAGGAAAGTTAAACAATCGAGGGTGTTTCTTCTTGAGGGTTAGTGTAGGGCTTGTGTAACAGCCTATTTTCCTGGTTTCTGAGAACTTAGCAAAGTGTAGAGTTTGAAACAGAGAGCAGCCTTGCACTTTCAGACTGGTATAGTGAGATGATGGTGTTAAAGACTTCAAACAGCAGCATGTTTTTTTTCCTCGTAAGTATATACAGTAGATGCTGATTTCACTAGAAGATAAAGGCCTTTGCGTCAGTTGGTCTTTGATGGTGATCATTTGTAGACTGAATTCGATCTTGCCCAGCTTGTACCTTAGTATCATTTCTGGACTTCATAAGAATAACATGGATTTTTAACTAGTTTTTCTCAGAATTGAGGCTGGAACATGGGAAAATTAGTTATTTCTTGGAAAAAAACAAACCAAAACCCCACATTTGGATAACACAGGGAAAAGGATAGATTTTGAAAGTACCATAAGGTTGGGTTTTCTGATAGTCACGAGGACTACCTTTGGCTACCAAGACTCATCTTCTTAAGCCATGCCTAAAATCTTCAAGAGGCCAATGCTGAGTGGGATTCTGGCCTAATGAGCCAGGCTTGTGCGTGGTGCTGGGCAGGTCTGATCTCTCCATCCTGCGGAGAGGTGAACCAGAGGAGAACTGAGGTGGCAGAATCACGTATGGCACAGGCAACGCGCTCCCACGATCATGTGAGGAAACCCTTTGTAGCAACACATCAGTTGCTCACACCCATAGTGTCAGACCAACACATGGGGAGTGTTTCCTCCTGTGCTGCCTCTTGTCTGTCTCACTCTAGTCAATTTTGAAGGGCCAAGGGAACAAGTAGTGGTGTCACATCTGCTGACCTTCCACTGGCAGCATCTATTTGTGCTTTTCAGATCCTGGCAGCACATTCTGTATAGATTCTGTATGTCTGTGTACTTGGATGTCCAAAAGTCTATGTAACGTTCTCATTGTACACATACGGCGTGTACTTGGGAGCAAAATATATTGGGCTGTCCTTCCCCTGTGATCTTTCTGTTACAATTTCCTCATCTGCTCCAAAAAAAAGGGAAATAACACTGCTTTGACCAACTGATTCATTAACAACTGTTAAGTGCTCTGATACCCACGGAGAAAGGCCCTCCAGAAGTGTGTTTATTCTGGGCAAAAAGGCAATCCTTCTTTATGGGCTTGCTCAAGACTACAAGATTCTTAGGCAGAAACTAAGTGCCCTCAGGCTCTAAAAAATGGGTAACAACTTCCCAGCCTGTTAGAAAAAAAACCAGAAAGACTGTTCTGAGTGTCAGAACTAAGCACTGAAATAGCTTCCAGCCTCTCCTTTTGATAACTTGGTAGCACAAGAGCTCCAATCCACCCACGACATAAGAACATTCATCTGAGTTACCCATCCTCTCCTCCTATTCATGGCTTAAAATTTGTATTTCCCCCCCCAAGTCCAACACAGTTCATTGTTACAGGTTGGGCCACTCCAGTTCCTTGTTCCTCTGCTCCTCAGCTGCCTGGCAAAACTGACACACCATCTCAATACAGATTAACTTGGACTGCGGACTGAATAACAAAACCTATTCCCCCTCCCTCTCTCTCTGCCTCTCTCTTGTTTTTCAAGCACGCTCTCTCACCGGGTTCCAGCTGCCTCATTAGAGGGAGCAGCCTTTATTCTGTGTTTCACCTGTACTCGAAGCGTTAGTGCTTTCTGCTTGGCGAGAGAAGGGTTTATGTACTCTAGGGAGTGATAAAGCTCTAGGAAACCTGACAGTGGAGGGAGCTGGGTGACGGTAAGGGACAGTGTCCAGCTTTTCTTCTTTTTCTTTGCAACCAGAAGGAGGTCTGATTGCTGTGAGGTATAGTGTGATGAGTTGGTTTGGTCCTCAGCAGGGTGGGAGAAGGGGTCTTTGAAGTACCTCTCTCAAGTTGTCCCTCCAAGTGCTAAACAAGATGGAAACCCTGAGCAGCTTTCTACCCAATATCAGGTTTTCCTGGTTTACTCCCAAATTGGAAAGAATTTCTGTGTATAGAGGACACTCAGGCAGTGGCAGGGATCTGTGTTTTAGGGGAGAAGATAGGACTTCTGTATTACTGCAAGATTCAGGAGTAGAACTTTTTTGTGCAAGTTTCTAGTGTTATCAGACCTGGATGCAGCATATGGCCTCAAAATCTGTCCTTGCCTTCACAGCCAGCCAGCTGCTTGCTCAGAACAAAACCCAGGGCTGCACTTGTGTTTCACAATGTAGAAAAATTAAAATCCTCGTGCTTCTTACACCCCCTTAGGCATTGGGGAAGGGAAATGGTCTTGTGTTTGTAGCACTGACCTGTTGCACACAAAAAAGAGCAGTCCAGTTTTGTGGTGGGTTTACCGCAAGGTGTTCTGTACACTGCTCACCTCTCTCTGCATCCATTCAGGGACTGGAAGCTGTGGTTTTTCAGCTGTTCTTGTGTCTTTTATTTATTTTGTTTATAAATCATTCAGGGAAAGATCTGTCTCCTAAAATGTGCTTGTACAGTTCCCAACATACTAGGCCTGGATTTCTGTTGGGACCTTTAGATGCTGTTGTGATATATATACAATCATTTATATTTTTTTTTAAAAAAAACAAAGTATCTTTCACATTTGAAATTGCAAGGAATAAAGGAAGAGGATTATTTAGAAAAAAACTGAGTAAAGTTTAACCCAATTTACAGCTCATTTTAAAGATAGATTTTCCCTTATATTTTACATAAATTCCAAATGCCAAGAGTGAACCAAACAACAGACATTCCAAATTTTAAGTGTATTTATTGAGCTACTCTGGATCTGCACTTGTATCTAAACTCAGGAGGGAATTTTAAAAAAGACATTACAAAATTTATATCATCTTCAAATGTGAAAGAACATTCTAATGTGCTGGATGTTCTGAATATTATTGTTTGGCTAAAATAATTAAGCTTTGAAAATGCTTTGGAGACATTCTCTTGCTTCAGGATATTAAAATAACGCGAAGGTTTAGGGACCTCAGAACATTTTTATGCCACAATAGTTTTCTCAAAACGAATGAAAGGGACCATCTAGGATGTCTAGAAGAATAAAAAATCCCCTTTAAGTAGCGTGTGAGCCCTCTAGTGGGATTCACTATGTTGTTCCAGTCCCCAGCCAGAGCAGCAGACTGTGCAATTACCTGCTGGTTGCATTTACCTGGAGGTGAGAAATTCTTTTAGACCCTACTGATCCCCTGTGCTTTCCTCCTGCAGTTGGAGTTTTGGAACCTGTATATCTTTTTCCATCCTTTTTACAGCTGTCCCGAGACATTCCTGAGAGCAGGATGAGAGGCAGGGTTAAAGCGTAGTTAGATGTAAGTTTTAAGGAGCTGTGATTCTGCCCTGATGGCTCTACTGTGTCCAGTTCTGGAGCCCCCATCACAAGAGAGACCTGGAGCAGCTGGAACAAGTCCAGAGGAGGCCACCAGGATGATCCGAGGGCTGGAGCACCTCTCCTATGAGGACAGGCTGAGAGAGTTGGGGCT